AATTTTGGCTAGTAAGGAATTGCCTCTTATAAGCATGGTAAGTATTGGGATAATGCTGTCTACAAATGTGAATTTTCCTCTCTTATTATCCTTATTTTATTTGTTTAATGCTAGAGTTAGCGGGTAACCAACATAAGGAGGTAGGCATCCTCATAGAGGCCAATTTCAATCCTGTATTTTTTTGGCCCTGTTTTGCCTATCACCGTCTTGTTTCACATTATTTTCCTTTCGTTAATTTAATATATTTATACAATTTTGCTTCCCCTGATCGTGACCTCTTTTAGCTGGCTCCGGCCCAGCTTATCTGTCGGTGGTCGCGGAAAGTTCATTGCGGCTTGGCCTGATGACCCTGCTTCCGTTGGTCAGTCGGTTCGACCCCGCATTTTCGCGCTTCATGGCCGCCATCTGGTAGTCAGAAATGCACAGGTGGAAGACAACGGTATCTATGAGATGCAGTTGATCAATCATGCAGGCAGGAGGTCGAAGCAGTTTAACGTTGAAGTCACATGTACGTGGCGCCTAATTGTCAATAATAGTCTATAGGCTAATTGGGTTGAATTGGATGGGTTATAATGAAGCTCTGGCCATATATTTGTTTGTATGAAAACTTGGTATACCTTGTTCATTCCATGCAAATCAGGCAGTCCTGGTGTAGTTAAGAGGTAAAGTTAACTACAATTATATATCTAAGTTTATAGTGAACCTTGTGTTTGGCAAAGAATACACAATTTTTTGCCTTTATGGGTCTTGAGAATGCTTGTGGCCTTCATCATTGGTAGTGGGTTTTGTCTTGCTTCCGTCTAATTTAGGCGAATGCTAAAGAAGTTTAATTAGCATAACGACGAAAATTTGTTAATATGATGACAGTGATTGGATATCTAATTCATCGATGAATCTTATTTGTGATTGAAGGTTTCTATTGGTCTCCTGGTGGCATAAGGATTTCTAATTGATTCAGTCAGGACTATGCCAAGTGTCTCTAACATCATTTGTCATTAGACTCATGCTTTTCAGGACTAGCTTATCACTAATTAGAACTCCCAGCCACGCCCGTGCCCAAGAATGTAGGGTCTGGGTAATTATTTTTAGGCGTGAGCCACACAACCCTTATGCCACTTGGCTACAGAGTATGTATAAGGTGAACATAAATCCTGACTTAAACAATATTTCGGTATACATTTAATGTTGAAGCAATTTATAGTTCTTTTTAAGGCAACCAGCTCAATTCATCGCGTTATTATCTCACTTGGCTTGTTAACTCGTGTAGTTCCATTCACGTTATGCCATTTCATTTGATAGCTTTAGCCGTAGCCCAGCTTTTATCATAATATTTGTTGAGCTTACTTCCATTTCGAGTGGAAGTATTGGGTGAATAGCTTCGAAGGTCGTTTCCATCAGAAGACGACGGCAGATTCCTCTTTACCAGCTGTCGATTGGCTTTACTGGAAGATTCATGCTGACGCTGTTTCCGAGGTAATCT